GCTGCCATGACAATAATGAGACAACACTGGATTAAATGTGAGCTTTACTTAGTTATAAGGACAAAAACAAAAATTTTAAACAGAATACTCTAGCATTATGCTCCATTATTATAGTATTTATTTAATGGTTGCGACTGCAAATAGTGCTGCCCTACGATTAAAAGGTTCTTAAATTTAGCCCTAATCTTAATTCTTACCCTAACCATAACCCTTAGACTGGGTGGGGAACATTTGGTTCTCCAGATGTTGTGGACTAAATTTCCCTTGATGCTTTGCCAGCATTTTGGCTGTAAGAGCATGATGGGAAATGTAGTGCCGAACATCTGGAGAGCCATAGGTTCTCCACACCTAGCACTTCTAACCTTAGAAAAGTAAGGTAATATAAAGGATACATGATCGGAAAACATGTATGGTTTTCTGGCTTATTTTGTTGTCTTCAGTACTTATTGATGGCATAATTATTATTTCCATAATACACAGATTACCATTATTTTTTACCCACCTCCCCACCGCCCTCTCTCTCTGTCATAATACCAAATAGAATCTTCTGACAAAACACACGTAAGTGTTCATCACTAATATGAACTATTAATGCTGATATGTTGTAACCATATGCACGTCCCATATATTTAACATGTTAGGTGTGTCTAGTTGCATTTGCTTGCTTGTGTATTTTTTTATATCTGTAGGATTTCCATTTGAGCTAATATCAGAGACATTTATCATCTACGGCAATTCACAGAGATTTAGTCACCAAACAATTAAGCTGCACATCGGTTTATTTTTTGTTTGTTTTTTTAAAACATTGGTGAAAAAAAATGACTTGTAGAAAAAAGATGAGCTAGATATTTTCTCCAACTCTCTGCTTAGCTATTGCAATTTTAAAGGAGCACAGTAAACACCATAACCACTACAGCACATTGTGGTAGTAGAAGTCCTCTGGTGCTGACCTAGGAGGAGGACGTCTCAGACAGTGACATAAAAGAACATTCCAAGCACTTGAAACGGGTTGGCCTGCTGAAATGGTTTATGTGTGAAGAGTGTGTCCTCTCTTTTCACATTACAAAAAAGTACAGATTTCAGTAAAAAACAATAAGTTTAATAAAATAGTCTTGTTACATCTCCTGGCCGTCAATCAGACAATTGCTCCTGTTCCTTTCTGGTTGTTCAGCTCACTGGCACTAAACTCAAGAGGCAGCAATTGCTCAGAGCACCTGCCTTGAAAAGACTTCTCATTGAACTGTATTGCGAAGTTTGTGTTTGGACAGCCACAGAATGTCTGGGTTGGGAAAGAAGAGGAGGGCTTGCAAAGACTGCAGACAAGAGATATTCAGCTTCTGCATGGTGGTTTTATATATACCCCCAATGAAAACATACATAATTAAATGCATGTATGTTTTCAATAGGGTATATCTACTAAATAGTGATTTTTAGATTTGTATTTGAGAAGTAGAGGGTCCATTTAAGTCCTAATAGACACAAAAGTTATATTGCTAAAGTGATATAGGAAGATCTTTCAATTTATGGATTTCACTGAAGGCTCAAACATCAGCGAATGCCCAGGGAACCCAGATGAAAAAAAACTGTTTGGTTCCATACTGGGGTTCCAGGGTACTCCTGGACTATAACCACCACAGTGCATTGCTTGAACTGCATTCATTATCAATTAATTTGTACTTCTTTCTTTAAGAATAGTTTAAGAAATAAGCTTCTTTCTAAATCTTCTATATAAGATTTATATGTATATTTTACATATATGCTATTTTCCTTTAAGTTCTCTAAACCTTTCTTTTAATCTCACTGGTAGAAAAACCAGCAAGCTAATATTGTCATCATGTATTACTATGATGAATAGTTTACTGTTAGACAGTGTATTATTGGAAAATATTATCTCTGGATGTTTAATTTCCACACCCTTATACTAAAAAGATGTGAATTTGTATAAAAGTAACAATATGTATAACATTGTACGATATAAAGTTATAGGACAAAAATTGTGATTGTCAAGCAAGGTACATTTAATGCAAGTGAACTGGTTTAACGAGGCTGATCGTCAGGTAGAAAAGTGAACGACAAGCAAAACATTCTACTAACTAATGAGCATTTCTGTAGTCTGTACGTACTGTGATTAATTTGCATTGCATGCTCCCTTGATAAATGACACCCATCAAAAATAAAAGGGTAGAAACAATTGATTAAACGGTCATTAGCTCTACAAACCTATGAAAAGTTGTATATTTTTATTTTATTGATAGCAAGCTTCATTGACCTGGTGGAATCATCAACATGTCACATTACCATAAATTAATTATTCATATGCTGATGCAGCATTGAATATACAAATCATTAAAATATATATTAAAAAAAAAAACATCTTGTGGTTTAACGTTATTTCCTCCTGACAAAGTTATTTACTAAAGTCAGGAATTCAACGTGCATCCAAAATTAATTTAAATTGTAAGGCCAACATAGCTGATTTGGAGGAAACATCCAAGTCAGCTGTGCTTTAAGTTCAGCTACTTTTGTCCAAATTTGAAATTCTCTTTGAAATCATGAATTCTTGAATTCATGTGAATTCTTGAAAATTATATCTTGTGTAAATAAGCCTGTAAATGTTTGTAACACCTGAATTCCTTTGCTGCAATACTAATATATTATCTAGTTTATTTTGTTATCTTCAATATTGTTAGCAATTATTAGTAACTATTTATGAAGCATCTCCCATTATATTATGCAATTAGAATGTAAAGATACAATAGACAAGTGAAGTGTACACAGTATTAAAACAAAAGGAATTGAGTAGTGTGTCCATGATCTTGTAAACCGAAGGAAACAAAGAACTGCTACGTGAGAATAGGAAGTTGACAGCATGGCATTAAAGGGAATCATAGTTATCTCTCTGCGGGAGTTGACCATGGAGACAGAATCAGTAATTTGATCTTCAGGTGGCTTGTAAGGATAAATTCAAGCAGATAGTGACGCTTTCTTTATAAAGTTGAGAGGTCCTATGTTAGTACTCATATCTTGAAGGTGTACAGGAGGGTTGGGATGTTTAAGATGTTGATGGGTTGCTAAGAGAAAACACAAAAGCAAAAAATAAATAAAAACATGAGATAAAATTAGAGTTAATAAGGAGGAGCGGGGGAGTTCAATGATTATCAAACAAAGGTAGAACCTGTTTCTATAGGCTGTTAAATTATACAATTTTCAACTAAAAATAAGCGAGAGGTAGGTAATGAGAGCAATGTGAGTCAAGTAATGAAAGCTTAATAGTGCACTGTTTATCATTATATATAAGGTGATCTTCCTTTAATAGGTAATCAAATGTTGCACCAATAGAATTTTCGTAAGACAAATGTTTTGTAGGCTATTATTGTGCTGATGGCATATGGATCAATTAACACGGTGACCTCTCACCATGCTAATCAGAGACATATTTAACAAAGACTGATTTTAGTCTGAAAGATGCTAATTATTTTCCGAGGACTTAAAACTGTATTGTTTAAGATTTGGATTTGGCATATGGTGTGTGAACAGGTTTTTCTGTTAATAAAGATATCACTGCTGGACCAAAATCTCTCAAAGCGGATAAACGCATGAATTGTTTTTATTTGATTAATTTTATTTATTTAGCTGGCTGCCCGGTTTCGCCTACTGTTTTATTATCCATGCTTTTTTTTTTTCTACCTTTCTTTCAGGACTTAATCTCTAAATACCAAATTATTTACTGAATATGCAGCAGTTTATTAAGTGGATTAGAGAAGTTTGCCAGCTATGGGGATAACTTCATTATTCTGGGTGGTCTCAATGGAAAACGTGGTTAATCTCTTGGTAAAAATGGCTAATCTCTCATTTTAGACTAATATATTCTTACTACTATCTTGCCCTTTGATTTAACTTTCGTATGCAAATCCAAACCTTGTCAAGGAGTCTGGGAGTCTGGGTAAACAAACAATTTTTTTCTTGTTGGTGCCATATTCAGTAAATTTAAAAATCGTCTGAGATGGTGAGATTTCCGGTACATTCATGACTATTTAAGAACACTATCTCACAGCTCACAGTGTTTAGTGCATCTTCACAGGCAGTTAAATGGTTAAAAAAGATTGAACCATTTATTTAGCAGACTGTACCTAAGGCATTTTTCATTGAAGAGTGAAGTGTTCTTAATTGTAACTGGAGAGCTGGACAAATTCAGGCATGGGTATTTTTGTAGCCTGACCCATTTAGAAATTTGGAATTTGGTTGATAATTTATAGCTATGGTATATAAACTCTTAGGCAACAAATGGTTATTTTTACCAAAAGGCATGTATAATAGATTTTCTTGTTAGTTTCTTTCCCTTAGGATATTGCTTGTTTTATTTCATTTTCTTATTTTTTCTTCACTTAAATTGCTGTTGCAAGTCAGCTGTGATTGCTTAGAATCTACTCGATATCTTGTGGAGGCCGGATGTTCCAAGAAAGACAACTGTTTAATGAGATACAAGCGCAAATTACAGACACGACAGGAAGAAAGTAATAGGCAAGGAAAGACAAACACAGAGATATAAGTACATAGACAACAGATGGATACTGTCTATTAGAAAGACACAGTGAAAGTTGTGTCACTGACACTGGTGTTATTAGTCCCTATGAGTTTTTACTAACTTATAGGAATAAGTAACCCATTGAAATCAATTTATTATGGACTGTGTGCAACTTCATGCTCAGTCAGAAAATTTTAAGGGATATTTGGGATGGATGCTGTGGGCTATATATTACTTCTTTCCATATTCTGACTGTGATGACAATCCACTCTAGCTTAATTAGTGGATACCACCCACTTGTGCACTTAAGAAAACAAAAATATGTCTGGTTGAGCATTATGAGAGTTGTATCTCACAGTGTCTTTTTCTGGTATCTTTAGAGGTAAATATATTTATAAACTGATTAGGGCTAGATAGCAACAGGGGCATCTTCTAGTTACGGATGCCTTAGAGCAGGCTTCCCCAAACTCCGGCCCTCCAGATGTTGCTGAACTACAACTCCCATGATTCTATTAATTAAATAGATAGGCTGATAATCATGGGAGTTGTAGTTCAGCAACATCTGGAGGGCCGGAGTTTGGGTACAAGGTATACACACCAAGATTCAGCGGTACACCTACTGTATTATGAGCATATTCAGTACATCTGACACAGCTAGTTTGTGGCAAGATTATAGCAATAGTAATATTTTGAAGAATTAGTTCAATATTATAAAATATGCAAATACAAAAATATTTTCTTATGATTTGCCATTAAAATAAGGCACTTTTGTGAAATGTCTTAACTTGAGTGATTGTATCATCTGAAACATTTAATACATATAATATATAAATACTTTTCCAAGTACGAATATAAAAACTATTAAAAGAGAGATGTTAACCCAATCCTCTCCAGCTTGATGTATAAATGGGTTATAGTTACTTTTCCTTTGCATAGCTATTTAAAATGAAATCTTCATTCAAAACATACATTTGCCTTCCTCCAGCTCCAACTGGCAAGAGGAATTGTTACTTTCTCTGCCAAGGCTCCAACTAATGTTCTGCAAAAACTCCCTACTTCTTAACTACACTAGAGCTTAAGAGGCTCATTACGGCAAGGACAGCATTTTAATTGTTTAGGGTACATCTGCAGTATATTGTTCATTAATTGCCTGGGATATAAAATATTTTCTAAGACAATCAATGGGTTTATACATTAAACTCAGAATTTAAAAAAAAATAACCCACTTGGAAAAATAACCAGGTTTAAGAATGTTTCAGAATTAACATTTTTGTCCTAAAATAAGCAACCCTCTTTCCAATTGTCCACAGTTCTCAGTTTTATGCATATGTTCCAATAAAATGTTTCAACAGTTGTATAATATACTACAGAAGATGTTTGATGTAAAGAACAAAATTCATTAAAGGGACACTACAGCCACCAGAACAACTACCGCTTATTGCAGTTGTTCTGGTGAGTGGTCGTGACCCTGCAGTCTTTTGTTGTAATCACTGCCTTTTCAGGGAAAAGGCAGAGTTTACATTACAGCCCAGGAACACCTCTAGTGGCCACTCCTCAGACGGCCACTAGAGATGCTTCTGACATTCAATTTCTCCGTGCTGAACTTTACTCATAGAGAAGCATTGATTCAGTGTATCTCTATGAGGAAATGCAAAATGGCCAGGGTGAAGTTTGGCTCCACCCCTCACCCCACCTCCTTGACTGAGATCATCAGAATTGGCGATCTCATCCAATCCAATACTTTCCTGTGGGAAAGCGTTGTGATTGGCTGAGATCATTACTCGGGGGCAGAGCTAGTGCTGACGGACCTGTGCAGAGCTGGAAATAAAGGTGAGTTTTACTATTTGGGGGAGGGGGGGTAAAGAGGGCCAGGAGGGCTAAATAGTGTTTTTAACACTATAGGGTCAGGAATACACAGTTATGTTCCTAACTCTATAGTGTTCTATAGTGTTCTATAGTGTTCAATAAAATGATATTTAGATTTTTTTTGTTAATGAAATGTGGGGTTCTGCACAAATCTCACATAATGTTTAGTATTATTTTTCCAAACGCAATACATTTAAAGACTTGTCCCATTCATTGTGACTAATATTACTATTATAAAGCAGTTGTTATATTTAGCACTCACGTCCAGTTCCAATTAATAACATGTAGGGTTCCAGATAAAGAAATAACATGATTAGGCATAGGGAAACAAAATAATGGACATTTATGTCATTATAGAATGAGAATATAAAATGATTCTTTTGATAGGTGCAAATATCATGCAAAATAAAATCTAACAAGAGAATTATTACCTTGCCCTGAACTTTTAAACAGATGACCCGGCTGGTACTGTGAATATTGCTCACATAACATTAAAATGGCTCTGTTCTCACATCTCAATCAATGTAAATATATTGCAGATGAATGTGCTAACAGTGGATGACATTGTAGAGGTCTATGGAAGCTCAACGATAATGCATTTGCTAATGTAAAATGATAAATGATAATTGGGCTGAAAAGTGCTGAAAGAAGTGATTAGTGATAGGAATATTGCTTTATTTAAATTATCACTGGCCCAAATTCAATGTTATGTTCAGCACTTCTGCAGTTCTCTAGAGTTTTATACTTCATTGAATATTGCTACACATATATCCTATCATTATTCTGTGTTTAACTATTTGTTTGCCATAATACGTCAGCAGGGTTTTTTGTTCCGACACAATCCCAGCTCTTTAATCTTGCAGAGAAGGAGTTAATAAATGTGTAGCTTTGCACAACAGATGTGCCAAGCATCATGGGAAATGTAGTTTGCAAACATAATTCGTGCCAAAGTTAGCTATCACTGGGTTAATATCTGGTTTCAAACTAATTACTTTCAAGAACGTATTTTCATATACACAGCTGTAGCCATCTTTGACGCACAATTAGATGCAACATATTGAGAGAGAACTGGAAAAAAGCTTTAACGTTCTAGCCATTGACAACTTCATTTTTTTTTTTTGTTCCCTTGGCAGTACGTGGCCTGCCAAAGAGCCTTTCAGTTTAAACCAAAAAAATAAATAAATGCGCAGCCTGTATAACTGGAACAAGCTAACGTTTTCTTCAGCATTTAAACGGGAATATATATGACCTATTGGGTAAATATTCAGTAAGTGCCAATATCGGGTTTCCCAAACTCGACTGTGATGAAAAATATTTGCGTTTATATGACTGGCTTAAGTTAAGAAATCCAATACTGCAATTTTTATTGAATCCTGGCCATTGGTTTGTAATTAATTGTAAATATATTACACAGTTGTAGTCAAAATATTTTGAATTGTCATTAGGACCTATATTGTTCTAACCCAAAAGATTTGGGCTATATGTAGTAACTATACCTTATGCAAGCCAATTATAAAAAAAAAATACAATTCTAAAATAATTCTAAACCTCAAGGCATGGAACCCTCTGCATTGAGAACTCCTGAGTGTATTTTGCATGACTACACTTTAAAGAGAAAAGTATGTTCATTCCACTTGGAGAAGTCTTGAGGATTCTTTTCATAGTGGCCACTATTTTTGATTTTTGGATGCGAATGTAACTTTCATTTAACTCACACTCCCATCTCATACCTATGTATCACCCTCCTACATAATCGACCTGTTTAGCAATACTTCTCTAAGTAGGAAAAAACACTATTTTGAATGATCACAGCAACTACAATGTAAATGCAATTGAGGGGTTCTCCTACTCTCTGCTGGCACTTATTTGACAACATAAAGGTCTATGCCAGGGGTAGGCAACATTCCGCACTCTAGATGTCATGGACTACATCTCCCCTTATGCTTTGCCAGCATTATGTCTATGAGGGCATTATGGGAGATGTAGTTGACAACATCTGGAGTGCCAAAGGTTGCTTACCTGTGGTCTACACCATCAACTGAGTGAAAGGTGAAGGGAGGGATGAAATATTACGATCAGTAATCAAAAAGGCAAATGTGTGTGTACTATGAAATGAACACTTTAATTATATTTCAGTGAGTTGACATACGACGGAAACTATCCAACTTGACTGGGGAGGATACTTTCTCTACCCTCCAGATGTTTTGGATTATACTTTGCAAGTCAGACATCAACTTCCTCTTTAAAATATAAACTCCTATGTGTCTAATGCTGGGAAATAATCATTGATATGCCTCGATATAGTAGTGAAGATATCCAACCCTCCTCTACAAAGAAATAAAATAAAGGACTCTATTTGTGTTTTGATCTGATTTCAAGAAGCAACCATCCTGTTAGTAAAACATAGAGAACCATTGGCAAATGATAATTTAAAGGGTCACTATAGTCACCAGAACAGCTACAGTTTATTGAATTTGTTCTGGTGTGTAGAACCATTACCTTCATGCTTTTTGCTGTAAACACTGTCTTTTTAGAGAAAATGCAGTGTTTACATTACAGCCTAGTGATAACTTCACTGGCCACTCCTCAGATGGCTGTTAGAGATCCTTCCTGGGTCATGGCTGCCTAAAATGCATCCAAACATTCAGTATCTCCTCCCTCTGCATGCAGACACTGAACTTTCCTCATAGAGATTCATTGATTCAATTCATCTCTATGAGGAGATGCTGATTGGCCAGGGCTGTGTTTGAATCATGCTGTCTCTGACCCTGATCTGCCTCTTTGTCAGTCTCAGCCAATCCTATGGGGAAGCACTGTGATTGGATCAGGCCACCACTACTGATGATGTCAGCAGACTGCTTGTTTTTTTTCTGAGACAAACAGCATGCAGATGCAGCTTCAAGCTTGAATACAGTAAGAGTTTGCTGTATTTATGGAGGCATGAGGGGCCCAGGGGGTCTAGATGGTGGGTTTAACACTATAGGGTCAGGAATACATGTTTGTGTTCCTGACCCTATAGTGATCCTTTAACCCCTTAAGGACACATGACATGTGTGACATGTCATGATTCCCTTTTATTCCAGAAGTTTGGTCCTTAAGGGGTTAAGGTGCATTCAATCAGTTACATATCCCAATATGTTAAAATGGACCAACGTATCATATTTGTTTTATTAACACTGACATTGAATTTGCTAAATAGTTAGCTGCATGGTTATTCTCTTAATTTTGAATTATCACAAACTGAATATGAGAGAAAAAAAATAATCATGTTTACTATTTCTCCAGATCTACAATTTGCTGTTAAAGTTGCAATTTCTTGGTAAATTCTAGACCATTCACATTTTAATGAATAGCCCTATAAGTGTTTAGATCTTCTGCACATGAGGAGCAATGTAAATTCAACCAATGTGAAGCAAATTAACAAAAAACACACATTCATTAAAATTGCAAAGAAATTGTATAGTTTCCAGTTTAGTTTCATATTTCTACAGAAATTGTAGCATATACAAATTCTAACCAAAAGAATAAAAATGTCAAATGCAGCAGAAAAATACTCCAATTTAGGGCTTTGGCTATCCCAACCCAATCAGACATAAACTAGATAAATTAGAGGTTTGTTTTAAGTCTCAAAATCCCCAGCCAAAATGTTGGGATCTTTCCTGAGTGAAATATTTGTACAGTAAGCAATTCCAAGCTGTGCAG